TATTACTCTATTAAGTGATTTACAACTTAAGACCTCTTTGACTAGATCAGTTTCACAATATTTGTCAGCATGACCATGTCAGATAAGATTAATTCTCTCTTGGCAGAGGCTTAATACTAGCGTGACCATACTGGTCTAAGAGGGCTTTTGCTGGAACAGCTTACTGTGCTCAAATAATTGGTACAAGCAGCACTGGCTAAAGAGTGTTTTGCTTAAATTAACTCAGTTATGTTAAAAGGTTTTACTAATACATGGTGCAAGTCTGGCCTATGCCTTTCATTCCTTCTCTTTTGCTCATATTAAGGCACTGCCACCTATTCTTTTCCTTGTCATTGTTCTTGCTATGTTCTAGCAGCTCCTAGAGGCTTTGAGTACATAAAGATCGAAGAAGAGAATCTAACAGAAACACAAGTATCACTGTATATTAATAAATCTTCATAATCATTCCATCTTAATGTGAATAGTGGCTCAAAGAAAGGATAATTCAGATGGAGTTACTGGTTTGGGGAGGGTCCATGTCCAACCCTAAGGCAAGCCTAAAACTTAGATTTAAGGCTACATGCACTGTAGGCACTACAAGATAGAGAAAAGCATCTGTTCCTTCTCCTCTCCTCCCCACTGTATCGTCCTACACACTAAAATGATGCCACTTATGATGAGGAAATAAGGGCATAACTTCTTGAACATAAAGGAAGCCTGCGATGCCACTGTTCTGGCTGAAAATTGACACTGCTAATAAATGTAGCTAACAAATGTCTAGTAGATACTCACAGAGTAAAGCAGATCAGTTAGTTTTTTGCAACTACCTGTAACATTACTTACAATGCTTTCACGATCATTCATCCCTTGCAGTACTTGCATTGGCAACATGCATATAATGCTGGCACAATGTATAGCACGTTATATATTAATACTTTGTATGACTTGTAATGTTCCTTTAATATCAAAAGTAATTGGATAAACAAGTAACTTGACAATACAGCAATTCTAAGATGAATATTCACACATTAACAGAGTATGGTACTTTAACAATAGTAATTAATAATCTACAGCTTTACCAAAACTGGTATCACATCTTCTTCATTGTAAGCATTGTGACATACTGTGTTTTAAAAAATACATAAATGTAAAGGCAGAGATGTTCATCTGTAACTCTTGCATTTTATCTCCATTTCTTCAAGGGGCCTCAGGGACCTCAGGGACAGCCAGGACCACCTGTAAGTGCATTAAAAAAATGCCTGTATTTTTCCATTGTCATTGCATTATATAAACCTGTGAAGCACCTAATACGTGGTTTCTCCCATTTTCCAGGGACCACCTGGACCACCAGGACTAAGAGTAAGTTCTGTAATGACTCTAACCTACAATACAGTCCTTTTTTGAAAGTGAAAACAGCAGGATCCTCTTCAAATGCATTGATTGTTCCATCACCGCACATGAAAAGCAAATACATTTTTCTACAACTTCCATCACTACCGTAATACATTTTTTGAACCTTCCATCTTACACTATCAGTTCTATTCTGCCATGCTGTTGAGCCTTCAACAGGCAATACTCATGGACATGCTCATACCTTTGACATGGATTAACTCCATCACATTCTAAATTAGAGTTTTTCTCCTGTTCTACATCTGAACACTCTTTGTGCTATTTCTGGCCCAGGCGTTCTCCCTATATATATACACAGATTTAGTTTGTTACGGGATTGTGCAGACTGAGGCACACTCAGTGTGGGGGCAGACTCAATATCTGAAGTGTCCTAAAGCTGTAACGATATCTGTAATCTGAGAACAAATTGCAAGAACTAGATGTTTGTGTGGGTGACTTAAGTCCTTAAAAATAAATAAACCTGTTGTCTGGGTCTGGTATAGAGGTCACACAGAGTGCAGAGAGTGAAGATAGGCAAGAAACAGGCTTCCTCCTTCAGAGGCCAGTTTGTCAGTCTTGGTATTTGTTCATCATGAAGACTACTTTGATCTGTCAGCTGCTGATGGCTGATTGAGATATTCTTTGTGTGCTTCTCTGTAAAGGAACAACACCTTTTCACACTTACCTAGATTGGTTTTGTTAAGTATCTAAATTAAATGGCTGCAAGGAATAAGTTGGGGTGTTAGTCTGTAACAACTATCATAGTATCTTTTTCCCAGGTTCCAGGAGTATGATAATTAAATTGGGTATGGAGGTGCTAATAAAAATCAAATAATCTTTTTCTGTATGCATTCTTGCATTCTTTGGAAATGGAAGGGAGGATCCTATTTTAAAAGTAAGTGTTTACAATGAATTATTTTCTAAAATGACAAAATTAATGGAACTATCATGTATGTTGCTACAGTGCTCAAAGAATTTACCAACTACATTTTAGAATATTCCTGTTCATCATCTTACATTCTGAAATATCTCTTTTTCAGAAACAAGTGGACATCAATGCTGCTGTTCAAGCTTTGATTGAATCAAATGCTGCACTGCAGATGGAGGTAATATATTTCAATGTATTTACATTGTGATACAGGGTATGCAATTATAATTCTATTTTTGAGGACAGAACAGGGCTTCTTTATAAAGACTTAATTTAAAATGAATCATGGATAGCAAATCATTACTGTAGAATATAATTAAACATGCTAATATTTATAGGATACAATTGAAATTAAGAACAGCAGCATTTGTACCTTTTTGTCATGACTGACACTAATGGAAACTTACTGACTATCACACATAGCGGACTGTATCTGTTCAGCCACAGATAATGATGGTGGCATTTAGGCCTTGATCCAAAGAATACTGACATACATGCAAGTGTGTGGTCCCATTGATTGCAAGAAAATTCCTTAAATGGGTGAAGTCAAATACATTTGCATATATTTTCTAGGTTAAGTCTAAGAGTAGATTTCACTGTTCAAAATCTGAAACTGCTAAGTATTCTTTAAAAATGCACTAATTTTTTCCTTTTTTCTTTTTTTCCCTGCATCCACATTTTTATGTCAATATGCCATAATGACGTATTTGCATGATCTTAACCTGCCTGAAACTTCACTGCTCTGATAATTTTAATAAAATGTACTAATTTGTTTGTTGGAATATGTTATTCTTACCCTGTTTTATATGGCTGATTGCATGCATTATAAATACTTTGCTGCTGTCTGGCTATTCAATGGCCATTTGACTTTTACTGCATATACTGTTGTTGTGATACTTCTTTGCGGTAACACATTTGCTAATGGCCCCTGGCAGAAATACCAGAATACTGAAGTAACTTTACTAGATCACAGTACAGAGATATTCAAAACGCTGCACTACCTTAGCAATTTACTGCACAGCATCAAGAACCCCCTTGGCACACGGGATAACCCAGCACGCATCTGCAGGGATTTGCTTAACTGTGAACGTAAAGTGGCGGATGGTAAGTGTCCACTTTCATTAAAGCTTGAACACAGATAGGCTTTGAAATGTGTTGCTTCCAAATGTTACTTTCTACATCAAAATTCTAATGTGTAAATCTTGTATTTGTATTCTGTTGCGGTGTCGCCTGTCACAGCTATCTTTATTTAAGATACAATTTCTGAATTTAAAAGATGAAAGTACGTCGCTCTTAGTATTATATAGATATTAGAGACAGATTATATAATTAAGTAAACAAAAGTGTCCAGAAAATTTGAAACTGAATCCAATTTTGGAAGTTTGTGATTAAAACTTTCACAAGTATTTATAGCTAATCTGTGAATTTTGTGTGGATCAGATTCTAGATTCCTACTGAGAAAATTGTATGCAATACACTACCACTGTCAGATATACCAACAGTTGTTGTATCCCAGGAGATCCTGAATCAATATTTCAAATCAAAATAAATTATTTAAGCCTGTAATGTCAACACTGTGACATAATTCAGTTTCTGAGTGTCTAATAACATAATAAATACCTGTAAATATCCCTATTACCAAGTATTGTATGAACAAGCTAAGGAGGGAATGGGAAATAAAGTTAGAGATTACAGGGAAATCACTGTTCTATTGCATATATAAGGAGAGATCTATTTTTTAAGACTCCAGTAAAGATGAGCCTAACCCATATTAGAACTGTGCTCTCCTAAATAAATCATAGCCCTTTAGAGCCATGGAGGTCACTGACACAGACCTCCACTTCAGAGGATTACACATATGGATATAAATTGTAGAGCACAGGCTTACCCATATTGAAGCATAAATTAAGGTAAGATCAATCCTGATATCATTTGCATGTGTCCTATTTCTATGATACTCCTTATCACCATCATTAGGATATGCCATGTAGCAGTGTCTGATGGGAGAAAGATAGCAGGGAAAGAAGAGATCTTCAAGATGCTGTGAGAGCAAGAGAATTTAGATTGATATTTTACATTCCTGAATATATATATGTTTATACATTCCTGTATAAAGCCAAGCCCAAAGAAAAAGAGTTAAGCTTTAATACAGAAAGGGCAGACTGGAAATACTGTTTGTTCTCACTATTTAGCTGTAGAAAGAGAAAACATTTTTGAAACTATGGACAGTATTCAAAAATAATTGTGTATGTAATCAGAATTGAATGGTGAATGGTTATCATAATTTTGCTCAGTATTTGTTATTAATAGAATTATAATAGTGAAAAGACTTTCACGTTCCTTTTCTTTCATTTCCTAGTGAAACTATGGTGATAATATATCTAATACTTGCCCAAAAGTATGAATATTTTAGCAAATTTTTTAGTAACAATTATATTTTGGCTTTATTTTCCATCTGGGATTGTATACGAATAGGAAAATACTGGATTGACCCAAATATTGGATGTCCTTCTGATGCCATTGAAGTTTTCTGCAACTTCACTGCAGGTGGTCAGACATGTTTAACACCGCTATCTGTGACAAAGGTATCTATTGCTTCCTGAGAGACTGTATCTGCGCTGAAACTCTGAACAAATGAATGCTTATTGACTTAACTCGTGAAAAGATGTTAGATTTCAGGGGTCTTTTAATGTGCATCATTGTGGAAGCACATGGTATATATTCTGTTACAGAAGTTAAAGATTTTTCTGGAGACAGTATATGTTAGTGTAACTCTCACTTTGTTCATTCACTCACCTTCCATGCTGATAGAACTATTTTGTTTCGCCTTATACTTTTCTATACAAGGCATAAAAATAAGCCTGAAATGCATCTAAGCTACGTTAGTAACTCATCACTCAGGGCAGCTAAGTGTAGAGATGCTGAGGTCATTGCAGTGGGAAGGAAGAAAATTATGACTGCTTTTCAACACTTAGCTACTTTTAAATGCCATTCGGCAGAGACTGGTTTCCTTTATGTCATTAGTCCATGCTCCTCTTTACATGTAGTCCTTAAACCCTTGGGAATAGAAAATTTATATTTGTGGAGTTTTGCATATACACTCTAGTCATTGAAGACCATCAGAAATACCATAAAGTTCCCATATGCATTACTGCATTTGGAGGATCCCTGAATATAATCTAGTATTGGAGAAATTCTTGTTGAGTAATGAGTAACTATATTTTTTGTCTAAAATCAAAGTACACTTGCAAATGTTTGGATTTTTAATGGGATGTAGGTATTGCCAGAATCTGTGGTGTAACAATACTAAACAGCAGAATGATGTAGCTGCAATTAAAACGCTGCTGCTGATAATATCTTTCTTTGAATCACAAAATCATTTGTTTCAGTTTCTTTATTTAAAAAGTGTTTTCTGCCCAGCTGTATTTCAACAATCATGTAAGCATTAACAAATGTTTATATTTAGGCTTTGAAAATGTCCTATGAAATCTTCTGTTTATAGTAATCACTATAGTAGAGCCTCACAGCTCTTCTGAAAAATACAAATCATGTTCTTTGGCGTTGATCCCAATGTATAACCATGCATACATGCTCCCATGCGAGAATATCACATGTGTATGTGGGTGTCACTTTGCGTTGCTGTGGTCATTCAGCATAGTCCAGCTGTAAGTCTAACGATGCATTTCTCTTGGAACTTAGCTGGAGTTCGGCGTTGGAAAAGTGCAGATGAACTTCCTTCATTTACTGAGCTCAGAAGCAACCCATAGCATCACAGTTCATTGTCTGAACACACCAATGTGGGGACTAAATAAAGCAGGTGGCCAGAAAACATCTGTTAGCTTCAAAGGATGGAATGGTCAAATATTTAAAGCAAATACGCTACTTGAACCGAAGGTGCTTGTGGATGAATGCATGGTAAATAATTTTTAGCACTAGCATTATTAAAACCATAATGGAGTTACTGTTTAGACATTATTAACTTTCTGCAGATAAATAACAATCACTTAGATTCACATCCCTTGAAACTTACTTCTTACATTGTTCTGCGTATGTCTCTGTATGCCAACTTTTTGATATTGAATTCAACATCTACCCAAACGTAAAAGCAATTGCAGTAATATAAGGTATCTATACTTGCTCTTTGTATTGAGTGTCATGTATTTCAAGACAAACAGGCTGGAAATTACTTTTTTTGGACAACTAAAGATCTTTAAATTAATTGACTATGAGTCAATTGTTTGGTTATTTAATAAAATAATGATGGTTGGAAATGGACTCCATGGCTAACTAAAATATTAAATCATATTTGTATTTAAGAAAAACTGTAAAAGCTTATTAATTTTCTAATGCTTATTAGATTGCTTCACTTACCAAGATGTGAGCCATTTGGCAAATGTCTTGGTGGAACACTATGAAACAGCAGCCAAGCATCTTACACTTTCAGTATTTTATAGCTCTATTTTCATTTGCAATAACAAAAGACTTGAAACTGGTTCAGTATCGATACAGGAGTGTCAAGTGAGACTTTTAATCTCAAGACAGAAAGTGGTTTTATTGAAGCACTTTGAAGCTGTTACGCTTCCAACCTTTATTAGCACACGCTAACGAGCTGCTCTAGCCTGTGTCATGCAGCTAAGGTATGGCCATTGAAGAGCCTCCTCCCCACCTCCCAGTCTGTTTGGGACTGTTTTTATCCCTGAGAAAAATTAAGGCATACAGTGATGGCTATTAAGAAGTGGCATTTTTCTGTGAGATTCTATGAGCTCTGTCACTCTTTCTGTGGGAAACTATGTATTGTACAGATCTGTTGCAGAACCTCACACATTTCCCTCTGCAAGGATTCTACTTTTTGATGGTATCCGCTGTACTTGATGATCTCTAAGAATGGAGTGATTGCAAACATCAAGACATTCCCAGCCTCAGGCAATGTTATAATGTTATTTTATAATTTTTATGATGTATCAATCTTTTACTGAGATTTTTAAAGGATTAGAATAATCAATACAAAGTTAATGGCAAAAAATGCAGATCTCATTCCCCATGATTATTCTTCAAGGGCCTAAAAAGTCATTCAAGTGCCTGTAGAGTTCATAACCTGAGACCTACTGTTTGGATTTGGAGGTGAATTTAGCAAGAGATCTAAGAGCCTATATGAGCTCAGGCTGCTTGCAAAGTGACAGGCACTCTGCTCTGAGCAGTGTTGCGCTGCTTGCATCTGCTCCAGCTGGATTCCAGGCTGGGCTTTTTTGCAGTTAGAGTTTTGCCAGGAGTGCCCATGGTATTGCATGGTATTTGTTAAATTACACAGTTTCCTTAGGAACTGCTGGGAGAAGAAATGTTTCAATACACTTCTCCTCCTTTCACAGTCTAAGCACAAGTTGCATTTGTGTTTTGAAGCTCATCTTTGATATGAATCTACTACTGTCCTTTGTGTGTTGCAGATTGAAGATGGCAGCTGGCATAAGACAGAGTTCTTTTTTCACACTCAGGACACTAATCAGCTTCCAGTTGTTCAAGTTAACGCACTTCCTCATCTCAAACAAGGACAGCAGCACTTCATAGAAGGTGGTTCAGTGTGCTTCCTTTAAGGTTTCTGTCCTGGTTTTTTGCGCATCAACATGGAATTGCTGCATAGATTGAATGCAAAAGTAATGATCCATTATAGGCAAAATTACTAGGAAACTGAAGAATTGTTTTGAACAGTGTTGGTTAAAGAACCTCAGGAAGAAAAAGACTTCCACCTAAGGAGAAATGGCATTGAAAAAGAAAAGAAAGAAAAGACTACATCAATTTTCACGAAGTATTTAAAAAGAAAAAAAATTGGTGCTTTCTTGCATGATTTCCTGGAACTGAGTATCTGAACATGGAATTTTTCAGGACCTCTGGTGTTCTTAGCAATCTCTTTAGCAGCACTGCAAAAAAAACCACCCCGAGGAAAGCTGGATATATACAATACTAAGGAGCAATACTGGCTAATGCTCCTAAACGTGCAATAGCTTCTATATGAGAAGTGAATTATGCCACAGTACAATACGTCTTCTTTTCTTAAACATTGTTTTATTATAGTCCTTTGTGGACACATACATCTTAACAGATGGCACACTACCTCTTTTGTGTTTCCTGTCCATGTTGCCTTTGTGCTCTTCATAACACAAGGTGCTTGTAGCCTTAGCAGAGATTATTTGAGTCCCTTTTTATCTTTCAGACTGTATGTGCTGGTTACATCAGGATATGTTTCTGTTGTAAAGGTACTTATTTTAAATCATTGATCATATACTTCACTCCAATGAAAACATTATTTATGTGGAATTCTTGTTTTAAATATTTTTGTGTACTGTTGTGGAAATGGTACGAGACAGCACATTGTATATGATGCATATAGTCAGAACAGTTAGCTTTACATCCATTGTAAAAATTGTTAGAAGGGCTACCCAGAGTAGTTCTGAGTTTTAGATTCTGTATTTCAGTTAGCATTTCTAATGCCAAAGGCATCTTAAGATGTTATATTGTATATATATTTTGTAACTTGTGAAAAAAATCTACCACAGCATGTCTTCTGAATGGCTGCTGTTAAATTATAATCAACATTTCATCAGCCTAGAAATTCAATTTTTTCCAATGTTATTAGATAGATTTTTTTTTTTAATTCAGCCTAAAATGTTCAACCGTCTTTTCTTTATTAAAAAAAGAACAATTTTACCATTAGGAAAAGCACTCTTTATAACAGTATGTCTCTATTAGCAATCCAAAGTCTGCTCAGTAGTACATGGCAAGGTGACACCAAGCTATACTGGGGAGCGGGGGGAGTGTTCAAACAACTTATTGAACTGTCTTGTCCCACAGGAAACCATGCTTACCAAAGTATAATAAAATAAGCTTCCAAGTTATCTGTTTGTCTTTTACTATTCTGTTTCATATTGTATAGTTCATTCTTAGTAACAATTAAAATTGTCTAGAAGGGTACTCATTAGGCAGCAATGCTGCTTTTACCACAGGGAAATGCATAGGCTTCGTGCCATGGAATACTGCAGGAGTGAAGTGTTTGCTTTTACTGTGTCATGTACATGTACATCCCATTTTACATTTTATATCAAAGCCCCAGTTTTGTTCCCTTTGAGAAAATCTGGTAAAACTGAAAACAAAGCAAGATTACAGAGTGATGATAAAGGTTAGAGAAAATGTCTCACTTTCTGCATTTTCAAGATCATTATACTCTGACAGCATTCCTTAACATGGGCTCTTAGTTTGGCTGTGGGGCTGATGTTGTGACAAATGGAAATTTTTTTTTTTGTAAGAATGTAATCTTTTGGAAAATGTTCATGTATATTTTTTAGTCTCATTGCCCTATTTTTGGACATTCTTTATAGCCTATATTTATGGTTTGTATAAGCATGTCTCAGAAATTACCTACTTTAAAACCAAATACCTTAAAGTATTAAAAGGCTGCTCAGATGTAGACGTGTGGATTTCTGCGACTGAGGCAGAAATGCATTTCCCACGCAGACGGCGCAGTGAACTTGTGCAGCAGGACGCTGACGGGTGGTAACGCGCCGCATCGCTTGCCTGGGAGGTTGCCAGAAACACATGCCTGAAAGCAAAACCGTTTGGCAGTACACTTGTACACGGTGTGTTTGACAGGACACTGGTACACAGTGCAGCGCGTGCTCTGGAAAGCCTCTGTACTCAGACATCTTCCCAGAGCTCCTGAAAGCATTGGCATGAGATCTCGTACAATTTTGTCCCACGCTGTTAACGTGTACCTGTACTCTGCAGTTAATTTTTCATGGTTCCTGAGGTGGTCACCTCCTTTGTTACCCTCCATTTTACAGCAAGCCCTGATCTAGATTTGGACCCTTTGTCAGAATCCTTTTTTCTCTCCTCCTTTTACTGATGTTTTACATGGTTACAATGCCGTAACAAAGCGGGGCTTTGAAACAGCCTGAAGCAGGAGGGATAAAGCCTAAAGGCCCCAGGAAGCCGCAGGGAGCGAGTCGG